GCGTCAGGTGTCTAATCAGTGTGCTCAATTCTCGTGCACGTAACCTGCACCTCAGATAACCCCTTCTCTCTTGGAACTGCTGTTCCTTGAAAATAAATCCTCGGGTAATCTGCACAAAACCAGAGGCACAGTAGTTACTGAGGCAAAGGGAGTAGTAACAGTAGAGGATCAGAGGCAGAGTGTTACTGAGAGAACCTGCACTGCTGTGGAACTGCTGTTTTTTCACGTGACCCACAAGTTTAGTTGTGTGAAAGTGCAGTCGTTAGGCTTTTAAGACTTTTGTGTCATAGTTCTGGTGTGTGTAAGGAAGAGCTAAAATACTGCCCAGCTAAGTTGAATGTGTTTGGCACTCTTGTCAGTATTTTTTTAGAAAATATTACTGCATTCACAATCTTGCTTTGTGTAGTATAATGGGACTGTGATTTTTGTTGTACTTCTTAGATACAATTAATTTTGTCTTAATTGCTGGTAGATAGCAAAATATAGCAGTGTGATTTGCCAGGCAAGTGGCTTTCCCATTGCTTTTTTGGCACTAACAGCCTATTGGTGTACAAGTAATATACTCCTACTAAAAATGTAAATCTTCAAAGAGATTATTTTTCTTTTGGTTAAAAACATATCTTCGTTCCAGCTACTGTGGTTACCTAGCTTTGAGGAGCTGGAGACTTGGGTTTTGATTCTGCAAATGTTGATGCACAATTACCGTTATGCAATATGAGTAATCCCACTGAAATAAGTGATGTGGTCTAGAAATAGCTTGGTGCATAAGCCCTTGGAGAATTCTGGTTTTAGCCTTTATTTCAAAGGGGTGTAAACAGCTCTTTTTTTTTTTTTTTTTTTAAATTAATGCTTATGGCCTGTCACCAGTATTTGGTTTTACATTTTCATGTAATTCATGTGATTTTAGTGCTTACCTTAATTCTAGGTTGTAGTGAAGTGCCTAGGTGATGGACAGGCACCATACAAAGGTATTATACTGTATTATTTCTAGATGAATCATACACTGTGACAGTACTCCGAAAGACAAATTTAGACCTGTAGGGTCCTGTCATACTTTCCGCAGGAAACTATGAAAGTTACTGTATGTAGTGAATTCCAGGATGTAGGAATACTCTTCACTGCAGATATTCTACCTAGAATGCAAAATATGAACATCTTGTTTAGACAGTGTAGAAATACTAAGTGATATGCCACAGCTGGCATTTTTTTTTTCCTTTTGAAGCATAGAATGGGAAGGTCTAGAAGTGTTTAGGTGTATCTGTGCTATAAGGGGGTCCTCATGTCACGTAGCAGCAGCTGAGCTTCGTGTTCTGCCCATGAATCGGGGAAAGTGAAAGAGCATGATGGCCAACAAAGTAGAATAGGAGCTGGTAGTATCCTGGGCATGACATAGTAGCACAGTGCAAAGAGTGAAGCTCTTCTAGAAATGTGAAATGCAAATGTGAGATTTGCTTTTTTGTGTCATTTAAAAAAAAAAAATCTTCCTTTCATAGTAATTCATTTTTCTCCTCCTTGTATACTTGTTGGGATAGTCCTTCAAAACGACAGCAGTTTGGTGTGTGATTTGTAATTTTGGAAGATGCTGGCGAGGAGACCTTACACCAGAAAGGTCAGAATGCTGCTTTGCACCTGCTATGCAAACTCTGTGCATATCTGCACCTGAATATGCACCTGAAAGGCAAACTCTGTGTAAGGACATACAGATATAGTGAATGCTTTAGGTGGATACACTGTGAATAACTAGAGATGAGTATCCAACTAACGTTAACGGTCTCTGCTGGACTTTGCAAATAGGCTGTATATCACAGAATTTTTGAGGAAAATGGGAATGTCAGTACATTCTCAAATGGAGACCTATGAAAAATATCTGCCCACTTATGCTAAGGTGTATATTCTACACAGGTCATTTGTTTCTGAATATAAATCTTTTCTTTTGCATTTTTGGTTTCTCTTAGATAACTTCTGGTTGGTTATTTTGCTTGTAAAGCTGCTTGAGTGGAGATTGCTTTGCCTTTTACATAAATTAACCTTTTAATTAAAAAGTGGCTGATGATGCTAGCTATACAATCCTGATCTTAATTTTATTCACACGTTGCTATTAGATTACTTGTAGCAAATTTATGCTTGGGGGTGAGGATTATTAGGTATTCTTTTACAGTTCAGTAAAATAATTTCACTATAGCCTCACAGATGTAACATTTAAATCTTACTGCTCTTTAATTGGACCATAGCATATTTTTTGATAAGGTCTATGCACATACTAATTTTTCATGATTATGCTGGATCCCTTTCCAATGTCAAGGCTGGCTAGGTAGCAGCAACACTGTTTCACTGTAATGATAAAATATTTTCTCCAAAGTATATGTTAAAGATGGACCTCAATGTGGTTTTCTGTTATCTGAGGCTGAGAGAGGCTTCATATCTTCCTCTGACATGAAGAAAATGGTATTATGAACACAGAACATCTGGAAAGCATGGCAGGTTGAAACATTTAATTAATCATTACTGTTAGTCTCGGTTTACAACTAGTGCATAAAAATAGGATTCTAGTTATGCACATATTTGAGGGATACCAAATTATTTTGGAGCTAGTTATCCCAGATATGAGGAAGAAAGACAGACCTAAGTGTCTGCCTCCATTATCCCAAGGAAGAAGTCTGCTAGCCTGCAACTTGGTGTTTCCTAGCTGGAAAGTAGCCCTTATGCCATACTAATATGACTGGACTCCTGCAGTCTACTAACTAATGGACAAACCAATCAAACCTTTCCCGCTCCAAGATTGATACTATGAGGAGGGTAAAAATCATCCTGCCCAACCAACTGGCCTTCCTAGAGAAAACTCCTTCCATGCATGTGCCAGCAATCTGATAAGCCTACAAGTCACATGGGTGGCAGACAAGCTGAACCTGGAATTGCTTTATTGATGGATTTGGAGAAGAAGAAGGAACTTTAGGTAACTAACAGGAGATGTGTTTAAAACGCCAAGGAAGCTGGTACTATATACAGCAGCAGGTGAACTTCTGGAACTTGCTGCCACAGCAGATGGGGAGCCCCGGAGGGTGAAAATATCAACAGGTTTAAGGAGAGTTGAAACATATTCATGGTCAACAGCTCCACAAATAGATTCTAAAATGACTAGGCAGAGATGTACACTCTAAAATGCTTAGTGCACCATGCTGGATATTAGGGGAATACAAGGGAATAGCAGGGAGAAGGTGGCCAGGCTTACATGTTTCTTTGTGAGTAGCATCTCCTTTTGCCACCCTCAGAGACAGAATATTGGTTTAGATGGAACTTGCGTCCAACCCCATAGGGTATTTCTTTGTCCTTAATCCACAGCTTATACGTTTGCCACAGCTCAACAAAGGGACCAGTGGGTAGCTTGCTATCCTCTGATCCTGGGCTGGTAACAGACAGGCAGGAACGTGACTAAGCAAGAGTCTAAAAAGGCTCATTTAAAGACCAGCTTGCCAGTAAGTGTCACCTGGCCAGACACCTCTAAGCACAAACAACTACCCTTAAGTGCATTTTCCTCAGGGATAAAGCTAGTTTCACAATGACTGGTTGGGTTGTTTGTTTTTCTTCCTCAAACCTTTATCTGGAAGACCTGGTTTTATTCTTAACACTTTACATAACAGACTTTACTAGAACAGCTATCAGTGGTATTTTTTCTGTTTAGCCTGTTACCCTAGAATTGTGTATGTGTGGACTACTGTATTTATAAGCCCATGTGTTTTGTTTCTAAAACATAAATGTTTTATACTGCTCAAACTCACGGTTCCTTTTGAAATTGGGGATTTTTTTCCTTTGTTATGGTGTCTGATAAATAGAAATTAAAGATGAACTATCTGTGCAGGAAAATAAATACTAGTTTATGTTTCTGTATTTTTTTGCTCTGAATTCTGGGCCTATTAAAGTTTAAACTACATATTTTTTTCTGGAAAACGTACATTGCCTTAAAGCCCATAATAAATATTACCTCGGTTGAGAATATGTTGCTACTTTTACAATTTCAGCCTGGTTTAGAATTTTAGAAACAAAAACAGATTGGAAAAAAATATACTGGTAATTTGTAAGAAGTTGTCTGAATCTGACTTCTTTTTTTTTTTTTTAATACCCAAGCAGTTTTATATATTGCAAGCAGAAAGCTTAGTTTAAGATATATTTCATACATATAGCAACTACTATATATGTTTCATGTATGAAAGCTCTGTACTTTTATTAGGTAACTAATACAGCTACCTTGCTATTTCTCATCTTGTCATTGAGTTGGTCAGTGAATGCCATGAATCTATGGTATGTAATATAGTTAATGCATAAAATACATAGGCAATGAAATGTCTTTGTCATATAGTATAAGGTCACCATCATTACTTTTCAAATTATAAAAAGGGATTCGCTGTTTTGTGATCATCATTATTGCAATATAATGTGTTGTGGATTCTGCCTGCACATAGAATTAACTGTGATCTTAATTAGAACTTTGACAAGCCTACTCCGATAAAATGATGAGATTATTCGTAATTGATGTCACAATCAATTACCAGTTAGTTCATCATGAATCTACTAACAGGTCTAGCCTTGGTGCTGGCCCCAGGATGTTGATGAGTGTGTGGCTGCCCTGTTCATGCTGTTACTGCGACAGGAGGGCAGATTTTCAGTCAACATCCTAATGACCTCTTTTGAAGTCTATTAAATTAATGACCCTGTCACATTGGTCTAACCTCTTACATCTTCATTTTGGGTTTTTTGTTGCAAACCATTGTTTTTTGAGCACATGATAGAACAGATACTTTGGAACGCTCCCCTCTCATCCCTCCCAATCTGGCCCAGTGTCATATTAGAGTCTATAAAATATTGGTTCATTATATAGTAATGAAATATAGAATGCAGAAATTACAAGGTACATCATAAGGGAAACAACCCTTAATTTCCCTTACAGATATACAATTCTGTTCTATTTTCTCTTTATATTTCTATTTTATCTTGCTTAATTATAGGTGCCTAAAGGACATGTTTGGTTAGAAGGCGATAATCTCAGGAATTCTACAGATTCCAGGTGTTACGGACCTGTTCCTTATGGACTGATAAGAGGACGCATTTGTTTTAAGGTATATTTATCATGTTTCAATATAGTTACGTTAACACTTTTGTGATGCCTGGGTGTGAGGCATTAAAACTTACCTCCTTAACAGTCCGACCAAAACAAATGTGAATGAAAGCTTGAAGACACCGGACACTTGCTGTAATAGGATGATTCAACAACAGGGTTTTTTGAGGGAGGATTAGTTTTCTTAAAGAGCATTCTTTGAGCATCACTGCCACTTAAACTGAATGAATTATTTTGCAAGGAAATCCAAACCTGGTGCAAACATGTGTACATGCATGTTTGTGTTTCGGCACTACCCCCAATCCCCTTACTGCGTGAAAATTACATTCCATCCTTCATTTGATTCTTGTCTTTGCAAAATGGTGGAAAAGGGCACTTTGGTATTTTGCCGCCTTTCTAATTTGAGAAATATAGTTTGCAATAGTGTAAAAACAAAGATGGAGGAAAAGGTTAAGACTTGAATTCATAATTTATGGCGTTACTGCTTTTCAAAGTACATCTGTGAAACACCTCTAACTGTAGAGTCAAATCTATACGACCATAATTGTCCTTTACTTCTTTAAAAAAAAAAAAAAACAACCTTGCATTAAAACTGAACTGTACGACTCTCTAATTCCTTCTCCTTCAGTTTCTTTTAACCATCCTGTATCTTTATTTCTCTCTAAATTACACTTTCATATTTGTATCTGCACTATTAATTTAGTCATTTACCAAAAAGAAGAAACTAAGATCATTTCCTCTCCATAAAAAGTTTAATATAAGAAACAAGGGAGTATAATGCTGTAGGCTTATGCACTAGCTTTTAGAAAGCTAGATTTGAAATGCTGCCATTCAGAACAATGTAAAAGATTTTGAAAACTCTTCTCCATAAATGTCAACACAACAGCAAAAATATAATTTAGCACAGCTATATTATATGCACAGAGAAGACTGAGCATACAAAATTGTTAAATTGGAAAGACCTAATGTATGTTTTTTAAGAACACAACTTGGGACTTTTCAAAAAACCTTGCAACTACTGACCATGATCACTAATTGCTAACTAAACCTGCAATAACATGCCCCCCCCCAGCTTTGTTTGACCTCTGTTCTTTATGGATTATTAAAACATTTGCTTTGAGTTCTTCCCTAGTGTGTATTGAGCGCTCCCTGTTCCTTCTTTGTATTGTTTGCCTTACTATGTATACCAGAGCAAGAATTGCTTATTCTAAATTGGTCTGTTTTTGTGACTTAATTTTTAACTTGGATTATTAACTGCTAAAGTACAAATGATACCAACATACTGGCAACCCTTTTAATAAGAATCTGGTATTAATCATCCAACTGAAAAAAACCTCTGATGTGCCCATAAAGGAAAAACTGGTATTTACTACTTTAAGGGGACCGTTACCAAAGAATTTTTAAATTGGTAACCTATACAAGTTAGTGAGGTGACTGACAGGACTAAACTCTAAAGCACACAGTAAACCCTGTAAAATTACCTATTGAAGAAATACTTTAGGACTCCAGAATATTGTCTATTTAAAAAGATAATAAGCTATCCATTCATACTCATGAAAATAATTTTTTTTAACAAATTTTATAGCAGTTGTTTTATGATGGTGCATATGCCAGGGATTATTAACATTTTAGGAAGATTTAAGTATATGGTACCTAACAAAAGCAAAAAATTTTACTCTTCCAAAGTGCTTATCGTTTGGGATGTTTATGGTAATTCACATCAGAATACATTGATCTTGCTATTATATATTCCTACTGAACATTACAGTGAAAGGTAGCTAATTAGTAGATGATTGGCCAAAACTTTATACCTGCTTTTTAATGTAGTCTCTTCTACTAGAGGTTTGGCCTTTCTTCCATGAAAAATCTCTTACTACCTTAAGAATAGGAGCTGACTTGGCTTCATCTTACAGTGGCTTTTGAAGAAGCAGATGCAATAATGCCTTTGAATATTAAATTACATTTTTAGTAAAGGATGCAAAAATGCTCTGCTAGCAAGAATGCTGCCGCTCTAATTTGGAAGTAATGATTTTCAACAGAAGAGTGAGCTTATACCAAGTTTGTTTAAGCAGCGTATTTTTGGCAAAACAGAAATGTTCTCTCGCAGCTTATCTGTGAAGTTCAGAGCTAAGATTCTCAGGCAATGTTGGTGTACCATTTTTTAACTGATAGAGAAGTAGTGACAACTGGGTTATTTTTGCCCCCTTTTTCTCTCTGCCAGCACAGCAACTGCCACTCTGAGAAACAAGTTTATTCTGTAAAAAGGCCACTGAAATCAAAGTAACCACAGTAAAATGCTCCCATTAAGGGGAGTCCCACTTTGATAGTACTCATGCTTCATGCTGTCCTAGATTGGATGTCCAGTACATTTCCTGGACATAGGCTTCGAGTCAAAAATAAAACTTCAGAGTATCTTCAAAAGAGCTAGTTAGCCCCTTTTATCCCCCATCCATCAGATCAAATCTACGTAGGCAAGATGAAGAGGGCAACGGGAAACAGCCGCTAATTAGACTAGCCAGTTTGAACCAACAAGTCAGACTCAACTTCTGTCATAACTTTAAAAGACTTGGGACTTATACGCAGTGGCATATCTTTGTTTCACATAGAATGCTTGTTCTGTCTCCTTTCCAACTCTAAGTTATTATTTCTTGGATTCTCTCATGTATGCAGACTAGATAAAACATCATTTTCATTTTAAATCTACCAATAACACTACTCTGATGCATTTGAAACCAAATAGTCAAAACAGCAAATTTTTACAACAGATTTTATTATTTTTACTGAAATAAAGTCAAATTGCAATACATGTGTTTCAAGTTGCCTCAAGTGAGATTTGTGCGGTTAGTAGATGGCCTAAGAAATTCCTCCTCTAGGCTACTTGCATCAGCCTGTAACATGGGACACTCCTGTTCTCCTTCATTCATGGTTGCCTTTGAGACAAAAAAAAAAACTTGACACCCAGCCTGCAGTCAGCATAAGCCCTCTCTGGAGAACCTTGAATTCTGTAAGTTTACTTCTGGACAAGATCACAGGTATCCTTCTGTCATTGTTCCATATGCTTATATACTTCTTTGGAACTTCAGATAGCTCAGTGGCTAATAAGGATAGAGAGACAAGACTCTTATCTTTGTGTACTTCTGTACAGCAGGAGGTGTCCCTCATACTCTCCTCTAACTGCATGTGCCAAAAAAGATAGGTATTTGCAAAGAAATTTACACAACAACGCTTTGGGCCTTTTTCAGATCCACAGAATTTGAGGTCCTGGGAATAACTCGCCCTTCCAGCTTCCTGCAGGGTGAGGTACAATCCCCCTGATGGCAACTTATCACAGTGCTGCAAGGGGCCTGAGAGGGGAGGCAAGTCTAGGGAGCTTCTAGCAGTGTACTGTCCCAGTCTAGCGTAACTTGATGCTAAGTCTTGCTTGGTACTGTGTCTCCCATCCTTAAGAACTGCCTCAGCTTGTCCTTGGCTTCACTACAAGGGATAAGTCATGGGGATTGAAATATGAAATCCTGGCACTGTGCTTCCTCTTCCAAGCTGAGGAAGTTGCTTTTGCACTCTGCACAGAACACAGCAAAGGCTCCTACTATGCTGCAGCTGTTCCATGAACTCTGCAGTAGAGGAATTTGCCGTTCCTGGAAGGTGTCTCTGTATACCTTCCTTAAGACCGAATTCTAAGAAAAAAAATGAGCAAGATATACACTCTAACAAATGCTTTGGGAACAAACCTTTCTCTGTCTAGCTCTCTTCATCTTGAGCAGGAGTGCTGAGATTTTCATGGGATTAGAGCCACAGGATGGGATTT